TTTTGCTGTCATGGAAGTCCCCGAAGGCCCAGCCCTCGATGCCGAAGTTCTGTCCGGAAAATCCTCTTCTTCCTTCAGCATCCCCGAGAGCTTTAAGAACGAGGCCCCTGTTGTCGACCGTCCTGCTAGCGACTCATCCACCGAATCTGACATCGGTGTTGCCAACCCTGATGTCGAGATTGACGAGTCTGATCCTGCCTTTGCTCTTTTTGTTGATTCCCCCCCTGCTGCCGACATCACCTTTGAGGGTGTTTCGACCCAGAAGGCTGCTCAGTTCACACTCGTCGTTGACAATTCCGAAGTTAGCAACTCGGCCAAGAGAACCTTCGACGCCCTCTGCAACAGTATTGATGCTGCCTTTGAGCGTGTCTCCGCTGTCACGTCCCACCTTCAGTGATTCCCCATTAGCGTCCTGCCTTTTCGGCCTCCTTTTTCTTTGTACATGTGATCACTCTTTTCTTCCTCGCCATCTTTATCGTCACCTACGGTGAAATCTCCTGCTATATTTTGCGAGTCATCGGGGCATTCTTTCTTTTTCTTTTCCAGATGCCCCGGGGAGTTTCAAGGCGCATGTCTCTTACTATATCGTGTATCCTCCCACGACGGAATTTCTCGGTGGAATTTTGGAGCTTTACTGGCGTATTGAAGGATCTGTGGAATAAAACCTCAACCCTTGATATTTACGGCCAATGATTGTCTTATTTTATTGCATAGCCTGTACTCTGGATGTAGTTTAGCCAAATAGAATGCTTGTCAATTTGTTAAAATGATCCCATAATGCGTGGGAAGTTACACATCCATGTACTAGTAGTAAATTCTTCGTAAATTCTTCAGGCGTAGCCAAAACATGGAAAATTGCTGAAGCTCGAGGACTTTAAATATGTTTTAACTGCACTTTTGCACTTTATAATTTCAATGTTAGCTAATTGTTTTATTTGGAAAAGAGTAAGTCCCTGGCGGTCCAAGTTGATTTTCTGCCGCAAAAATCAACATTTTCTTTTAATTCAGATCCACCAATTTCCTCCTTTACAATATTACAACTAGGGGTCTCTTACCATTCATTTACCCTTTAATCCCCTCTATTATAGACAAGTTGGCTTCCTCTTGCGTGCGCGGTGCCTTGTCAACCGCCACTCGCGCAGTCGCCTGGAGCGCGTGCCCTCGAACCTCCATTTCGCCATTTACCCTACGATCGTATCGCAGAAACAGTGACTCACCAAAACCTGACTCTAAATCGAGGTCGAGGAGCTTCAGATACCCCACATCACTGGCGCAATTAGCGGACAACAGGAAAGCCCAAGAGAAACCCTTGCCACTCCGGATCAGACAGCCTACAATCAACCCAAACGCATACTTTCTTCCCGCGGGTCCGGTCTCGTACAGACGACGCTCCAGAAAAGACGACTACTTGATTTGTGAACCATCCAAACTCGAACTCACTTCGTTGCCCCCGCCTGTCGCAGGAATCGCCCCGATGAAATTCTTCTACCAGGTCATCACGACCCCAACAGCCGATACCCCCGGCACGGCTGTTTGCCTCAACTTCCCGGATAAGCGATACTTTTTCGGCCAGCTATCAGAAGGCACACAGCGCGCATGCACAGAGCGTGGGATTAAGCTTTCTCTCCTCACCGATGTGTTTGTTACTGGACGGACGGAATGGGCCAACACAGGCGGCTTGATTGGGATTGTTTTAACCCTTGCCGATACTGTGACAACCTCAATGGCGGCTATCGAGGAGGAACATCGGAAGAAGGCTGCCCGCAAGGCGCAAAGGGAGGCCGAGGAAAACATCAAATCCAAGCCCCGTTCACAGCTGCAACAACATGGCCAGCCCGTCGTGGAGCGAGAAGGCGAGACAGTCTTGCAGAGAGGTACATTGACGATCCATGGTGCTGCGAATCTTACGCATACACTGGCCACGTCCCGGCGGTTTGTTTTCCGGAAGGGCATGCCGGTGTATTTGAAAGAATATGACTCGAAGACCCTCGCCAAGCAAAAGTCTATCGGCGCCGAGGATCCCTTTGAGAAGCCCTCATGGTCCGACTCTAACATCAAAGTCTGGGCCCTGCCTATTAACCCCCGCCCATCGGCTGATTCTCGAGTTACGCAGCCGCGGTCACAGAGTCCGCGAAAGCGGAGCTTGGACGAGTTCCAGGAATCTCAACAGACCGAAGATCATGTGGACCAGCGTACTAAGGACCTGATAGTGACCCAGTCTGTTGTGCAGGATATGTTCAACTCCACATGGAAGATGGACGCTCTCCATGAAACCCCATTGGCTGAGGTCAAGATGCCGGCCGCCATATTCATTCGCAACCCTGAAACCAAGGACCTTGAGCAATACAAAGGTCCGGTGCCGGGTGGCCCTGATGCGCTTCCAGACATCAATGTTCTTGTTCGAAAGCCCTGGCCCGGTGCGACAGTCGAGAGTCTCCCGCCCACTTCTCCCTCAAAGGAAGCGGTCTGCTATATCGTGCGGAATCACGATATTCGCGGAAAGTTCGACCCGAAGAAGGCCCAGGAATTAAATGTCGAGAAAGGTGCTAAATATGCCGCTTTGACCAAGGGCGAGAGCGTTCAATCTCTGGATGGCAAGACCATCACCCCAGACATGGTCTTGGGACAGACGCGAGCTGGAAAAGGCGTTGCCATCATGGAAGTGCCATCGTCCGAGTACGTCGAGGACCTGGTCAGCCGGGCCGAATGGAAGTCACCAGCTGTGACGACCGAGTTGCAGGCTTTCATCTGGATCCTTGGACCAGGTGTGGCTGAGCATCCTAAATACCAGGAGTTCGTTGCCAGCATGTCCCACTGCAAGCACACCGTGTCGAGCACAGACCACTGCCCGAACTACCTGGCGATGACTAGCTCCGCTGGCTCAACTGTTCGACTCGCCCGTCTGAAGCCCGATAGCTATGCGGTTCCTGTTCACGACAATGTGTCGCTTCCCCAACCCGGCACCCCCAACGCCAATTCAAAATCTGCAATTGCTGCTCGTCAGAATTCTCCATTGGAGCCTCTTGAACCCGGACTCATCATCAACATGGAGCCCAACTTCGGGTTCAACAGTGACGAAGTGATGTCTCGCTTCAACCCAGCGACTGTATTACATAGCATCCCGCGTTCTGTCGAGCAACGGATGGAAGTCATTCGCAAGCGCGTCGCTAAGCCCGGTTTTCAGAAAAAGTTACAAGTGCAACGGACAGAATGGCCTGGAGCGGATGCAGAGATCATCGCGCTGGGTACTGGTTCCTCTGTTCCAAGCAAATATCGAAACGTGTCTGCCACACTGGTGAAGGTGCCTGGATATGGCTACTATTTGCTTGATTGTGGCGAGAATACTCTTGGTCAACTGAAGCGAGTTTTCGAGCCCGAAGAACTCCGTGAAGTGCTGCGGAACCTGCGCATGATCTGGATCAGCCATTTGCACGCTGATCACCACCTAGGAACGGTCTCTGTGATCAAGGCCTGGCACGCAGAGAACTTCAATGGATTTGGCTCAGCTGCTAAACGTGAAAACGACATGGTCAATATTCTCCTGGAGAAGCGGCTGGCTGTTGTATCTGATGATGGAATGATTTCCTGGTTGCAAGAATATTCAGAGGTTGAGGACTTCGGATTTGACAAGCTGCTTACGCTTTGCGCACACCCTGAAGTAAATGGTTCTAAAATCACCACCCAATTCTCACACCAGCTACCTAATCGTTATCGGCATAATGTTAACTTCACGGACGAATCCTCTCCCCTCACTCCTCTTCTCAAGTCTGCCACCGGCCTTGAAGATCTACTCACTTGCCGCGTCAAACACTGCAAGGGTGCACTCGCTGTGTCCCTTGTCTTCTCGAATGGATTCAAGGTTTCCTACTCTGGCGATTGCAGACCATCGAATAAATTTGCCGCCATTGGACAGGGTTCGACAGTGCTTATTCACGAGGCCACCTTCCAACCGGACATGGTCGGATCGGCTAGGGCCAAGCGGCACTCGACCTCCGCCGAGGCAATCGAAGTCGGCCGCCGCATGCAAGCGCGCGCTGTCCTGCTCACTCATTTCAGCCAGCGCTACCAGAAGATCGCCTTTGTAGAGAAGCGAAACCCAGGCAAATTCCAGTCCAGCCGGGACGCAGCTGCAAAGGAGCCCGCCGATGCGGATATCCCATTCGACGACCCTCAAGATCAATCGGTGGACTCCAACGACACCCCACTGTCCGACGACATCAATACGGGGAAATTCAACCAAAGAACCGGCGTTTATACCGGCCCCGTTGCCGGAGCGATGGATTACATGCGTATCAAGGTCGGAGACTTCGCTCTTGCACAAGCATATGCGCCAGCATTGGAGAAGCTCATTGAGCTCTTGGAGCGCGCGGCGAACGAGGAAGCCGAGCGCGTGAAACAGACCCGACAGGACGAAGAGAATACCCGCAAGGCGAAGAATAATAAGAAGTGGGCTAAGCAAATGGCTACGGCTACTGCTGCAGCAGTTGCAGCAGCAGCAGCTGAGGTTAGTGACGTCCAGACGCCCGCTCGGTCTGCCTGGAGTGCTAGTGAAAGCGAGGAGGGGTGGGAAACAAGTGACTACGAGGAATGTTGTTCCTGATTGTATATACTATACCGTGTCAAATATGCATAGCAAAAGATTTTTTCCCATACCGGAAATGCTAGTCCGAGGCCAGCTTCGGCAAGCTTGCCGAGATGCGGAGACCATATATCCGTTGCATTCTTGAGGTTCCTAGCTTTTCCTAGCTTTCCTTATGTTATTTTAGATGTCGATGAATTGAAAGAAAAGAACCTCCGCTTAATGGGCCTAACTTGTTTCATAATAGTACACAGAGAGAGAGAGAGAGAGAGAGAGCTCTAATTCATTGGACAACGTAAATGGGCTTATCGGTATAGCCGATCTACCCCAAATCCCCTCACCGCCCCAATGGGGGTCAGTTTATTTCCTGACTCGATTCCATTTTATAGATTCCTGAACATCTCTCTTCAATTGATTCGAGATGACCACCCTCATTCCCCGTGAGCCTTATACCCAGGATGAGCTGGCTCGCCTGTACCCGGCAGCTCTGAAGCTGCAGTTGGTGCAAGTGGTAAGTGTTTTGGTTCCTTGAAGACGTAACATGGCTAACCAATATAGTTCCTTCGTCATGGTGAGATGTTTATTTACAGTGCCCCTGAGAGCATTTCTAACTGATTCCAGGTGAACGCACACCCGTCTCATCACGATTCTCAAATGTAGGCCGTAATTGACTACCCAATCCCCCCAATCTCCCAACCCGCTCTCCGACGGTCTCCGCTAACAGTCTCCAAAGACAGGTTTGAGTCCATGTACGGCAATTTCCCAATCCCGATATCGGCCAAGTATATACTGATTTTACCTTGACAAGACTGGCCGTATTGCGGCGTCGCAAGACGCATGGTGCAGATGGCCTCGAGTAGTAAAGACCTCTCGGAATGGAACGGGTTCCAATGGCGCCGGAAAATGGAGTCATTCGGCAGTAATGACCACGCGATGATCGCAACAGGACCGGGAGGACCAGTCGAAGCGATGTGGTAAGTTATCCGCAGAGCTATGGTCTGTACGTGGAGGAAAGCTAAATCATCCCATCTGAAGCTTGCACGGAGAGCTCACAGACAAGGGTCGTGAGACGACATATGCACTCGGACAACGGCTGCGCCATCTATATGTCGACCAGCTCGGATTCATGCCTGAGATTAAGAGTGATTCCGAGGATATGTATCTGCGCGCCACGTCGATCCCCCGCGCTCTGGAGTCGCTCCAGGAGGCCTTCTGGGGCATGTACCCGGCTAGCGCGCGCACGCTTGACTTCCCACCGCCGGTGATTGTGGCCCGCCAGGTCAATGAGGAGACACTGTTCCCTAATGAGGGGAATTGTAGACGGTTCCGACAGCTGGCACGGCTTTTTGCTGATCGCGCCGCTGCACGATGTATGGGCTTATCAGTTGGATATGGAGATAAGAGTCACAGCTAATGATTTCAATGCAGGGAACGACTCTGGACAAATGGCGTACCTGAACAGTCTCTGGTCAAAGCACATGCCTGAAGAGTCGCCCAAGGTTGCTGTCGATGCCCACCCTCGTCTTTCTGGAATTATGGACACCATCAACGCAACTGATGCCCATGGCCCAGCCACTAAGCTTCCATCCGAGTTCTATGACAAGAAGGGTCGTGGCATCGTGGACCGAATTGCGGTTGAGGAGTGGTTTGCTGGTTATGGTGAGAGCAGCGAGTACCGTAAGCTCGGTATTGGTGCTCTCATGGGTGATGTGGTTGACCGCATGGTCAGCACCGCCGTGGAGGGTGGCTGGCGCAGTGAGACCGCTGCGTCTGGGGCAGGCAACCCGGAGACTGGCAAGGCTATCAAGTTTGCTATGAGCGGCTGCCACGACACTACCCTAGCAGCAATCCTGTCCAGTGTTGGTGGATTCCAGGACCAGTCATGGCCTCCATTTACTTCCTCTGTTGCAGTTGAGCTCTTCTCAGAAGCACCCCGCTCCGACTCCAATGCTGGTGTCGTGCTCGAGGAGTTCTCCAACCCATCCGTCGCAGCCAAGAAGCCCGGCGTTCTCTCCCAGCTCTTCGGTAATTCCGCACCGAAGCAACTCACCGCCTCCAATACTGCGCGCACACCCCTCGAGTCCTTGTCCGAAGGCGCTCGCGAATCTCTCCAGAAGCACTATGTCCGTATTCGCTACAATGACCAGCCCGTCCGTATCCCCGGCTGTGCTGCTAAGCCCGAGAACCACCTGCCTGGCGATGAGACATTCTGCACCTTGGACGCCTTCAAGGAGATTGTTGATAAGTTCACGCCAAAGGATTGGCAAGGCGAGTGCACAGCGAACCTTAGCGCAGGCCTCCACGGTCCAGACGATCGTGAAAAGGCACCGGCTGGCTTCTAGACATTATATAGAGTAATGTTGTTATCTTCTAATGCAGATATATATTTTTTTCGTATAGCTTCATATGATCTGGTGTGCAAAATGTTTATTATGGGCGGGAACTATAGAGCCAGAGGCACAACATATCAGCAAGCATCTCAGCTGCTCTTCGCCTTGGCATCTAGATCCGCTCTAATTGCCTTGAATTTCATCGTAGAAATTTTCATCAACACCCAGCGCGGTAGATACTCAAACGACAATCCCGACAACCAATGCCAGAAATAAGCCCATACGATATCCTGCCCACAACCAACCCGATTCAAGCTGGCAGCGGCCAGCACTCTCGCCTCAGGAATCAACAAGTTACTCTTAACATCATATCCAGGAGTACTGACTTCCGCAACTCGCAACCCCATAACCTCGATCTCCTTCCCTTCAGCCTTAAACTCCGCGCGCAACGACTTCGTAAATGTATCCACAAATCCCTTGGCAGAGCTATAAGTAGTGACATACGGCAATCCGAACCCGGCAACCGAAGAAACATTCATCACAAGACCAGGCGCATTCTCTTCCAACTGTTTGGCCAGAACACGCGTAAGCTGACAGGTGAAAGTCGCATTCCGCGAGATAGTCGCCTGCACATCCTCAAAGGTATACTCCTTGAGGAGTGCAGAAAGCCTAGTCTCACCACCCACATTATTGATAAGAACAGTCAGCTTGCCATCACCCTTGGAACCGACGGTCCCATTACTGCGAATAATATCGCGCACTTCCGCGTCGACGTCATCGATATCCGCGGTTACATTCTGTGCATCGCGCACAAGAACACCAACACAGACTGGGAAAAGCGCGTTGAGTTCGCGGCGACGACGTTCAAGTTTCTCGCTGTTCCGACCGTGTATGATAACGTTGAATCCGCGCGCACAGAGCTCCTGAGCAAAGCCGAAGCCTATTCCATCTGTTGCGCCGGTGACGAGGGCCCAGTTTGTTTGGGTGGGGTTGTAGCATTTGAGGAGGGTGCTGGGGAGAAGGAAGTTTGTTGCTTGGCGGGTTATGGAGTAGACAGTTTTTCCCAGCGTGAAGAGGCCTAGGTAGGCTAAGGGTTTGGTATAGGTTCCTAGCTCCATCATTTCGGGTTGAAGTAGGATTTGTGTTTGGAAGTACAGGGAGATATTTGGGAGATATTTGGGAGATATTTGGGAGATATTTGGGAGATATTTGGGAGATATTCGACATGGATAAGTAGATGTCAGTCCTACGTCAGCGTAAGGCTCTTATAAGTTTCCAGGTCGGTATGTGAGACCGTCGGCCCGCTCATCAAGCCGAGCACCGACTTGGAGGCTGATACGTGGAGTCTTTTGCATTGTCGGTGGTTTTTTTCCTTTTTTTCCGTCCATTAAGCCGAAAAGAAAAGATCTAAAATATACCCGTACACATTGGCCCAATCCCTTGGGCAGCCTAATGCAAATTTCCTGCTATAGGTACCTTCGATATGGGGCCGACATACAAAAGGTACTTTATCCAGATGAATTAGTATTGAATGTCCTCTCGGGTGAGATGGTCTGGATGAAAAGCCTTAACATTACCACTTTTTACATTGACCTCATTATCCTCCTATGTGGACTGTTTGGAGATTCACACTGATTTTAAACCCCAATGTCGTCAAATGAGGACCGTGAAAGTCAACGGCGCCGGCCAGGTACCTTGCGGACGATTCACGCTGGCCACTTAGAAGACGTCAATTATCATAGCCATTTGAAATCATACACTTCATTGGCTTAGATATAGTTCCACTAGTTTGCTTGTAACCTTGGAGGACCTGTATTGATATTTGTGCGGCATCAGGAATGCAACCGACAGCGTTAGGGGGCGAGGAACTTGGAGACAGCCCTAGAGCGCCTTGGGAAAGATACTATATAATGTAATATCCTAGAACTTTCGCAGACTCAACTTATCTTCCTTCTCCTTCTTTTTTTTTACTTTGTATACACAACCACAAAAGTTACCCACCCTCACTATGGTCATCGATGCAGGAAAAGACTCGGTCTCCTATCATGTCCCAACTCCTACGGAGGAAAAGGCCAAAACACGGCAGATGCCGGTCACCCTTCTTTCAGGCTTCCTGGTATGAAATGGGACCAATTGTATCAACATTGAGTCATGTCCAGGGACATTAACACCTGTATAGGGAAGCGGCAAGACAACCCTCCTCAAACACATCCTCCAGTCTCCCGACCATGGGTTACGGATTGCTGTCATCGTCAACGATATGAGCCAGTGGGTACCGCAATGAATGAAGACTATAGGCTGTAAGCTAATTGCTTTGTTCCATTAGGTTGAACATCGACGCAACTCTCATCCAAAACCACAAAGTCTCCCAGACCACCGAGAAGCTCATTAGACTTCAAAATGGATGCATATGCTGCACCCTACGGGGGGACTTACTGTCTGAACTAGCCGCTCTGACTAAACGAAATGAGGTTGACTATGTCGTCATTGAATCGACTGGCATAAGCGAGCCTATGCAAGTCGCTGAGACTTTCACGGCTGAGTTTAGCTCGGCCATGCTGGAAGCTGAAGATCAGATTGCAAATGATGATGCGGATGCAAAGAAGATCCTGAATGAAATGTATTGTTTCGTCACCACCTCTCCCTTCACGGTGGACTTGCTGACATGATATAGTGTGGAACTAGGTGGCTTGCACACAATGGCTCGGTTAGACACTACAGTCACTGTCATTGATGCCTTCAACTTGCTTTCCAGCTTCGACACAGCAGAGTTCCTCTCTGACCGCTATGGGAGAGAACAGATTGTCCCCGAGGATGAGCGCACAATATCTGATCTCATGGTGGATCAGATTGAGTTCGCCGATGTGTTGATTCTCAATAAGATCGAGACGGTTGACCAAGCAACACGCGATAAGATCATGCATTTGCTGAAGCTACTGAACCCAGCCGCAAAGATCCTCGAGTCAAGTTACTCCCAAATAGATGTCCAGGAAATCATCAACACAAACAAATTTGATTTCGTCCGTGCCGCCTCTGGTCCTGGGTGGTTGCAGAGTCTGCACGAAATGACGATGCAGACGACAGGTAACGGTGACCGGATGGCTCCGAAACCAGAAACCTTGGAGTAAGTTTACCGATAATTCATTTATGGACAATTTGCTTACCGATACAGGTATGGTATCAACAACTTTGTCTACACTGCTCGTCGACCCTTCCATTCGCGCCGCCTTTTCGCTCTTCTTCACGACAAGTTCATCATTCTCCAGAATACTGAAGCCGAAGAAGAAGAAGGTGACGAGGAAGAGGAAGATGAAGATGTAATGGACACAGACTCCGATTCCGAGTCAGTGGAAGACTTTGACCAGCCTGACCCAGCGGTAGTTCTGAACAACAAACGTACCCACCCGGCCTTTGGTCCTGTTCTCCGCTCCAAGGGCTTCTTCTGGCTCACAACCAGGCCCTGGCAATTCGGAGAATGGAGTCAAGCAGGCGGTATAATGACTGTTGGATGCGGTGGACCTTGGTTCTCTGAAGTCCCAGACGAGGACTGGCCAGAAGACAAGGATGTGCGGGAATCCATCCAAAATGATTTTCAAGGTCCCTGGGGTGATCGTCGCCAGGAGCTAGTTTTTATCGGGGAAGGTATTGACAGTGCGAAGATTAGTGCTTTGCTGGATGAATGTCTTTTAGATGACAAGGAGATGAAGAAGTGGGAGAAGGTGATGAAGAACAAGAAAATGAGCAGAGAGGAGAAGACGGATAAGTTAGCAAAGGTGTGGGAAGACGGTTGGGAAGATTGGCCTGCACTTGATGCTGAAGAAGAAGAAGAAGAAGAAGAAGAAGAAGAAGAAGAAGAAGAAGAAGAAGAAGAAGAGAAGCTAGATCAGGGGAAGCATAGAATCAGCGATTATCTGGGTCCCCAACATGGATCCAAACATGTTCATGGACACAGCCACCGGATGATTGCGGTATGAACTTGCTGAGGTTAATGGCGGACGAAAAAAGTTGATTCTTTTTTCAATGTCATCAAAGTGTTTAAGAATAAAATCCTATTTCAAATAGAAGGAGATCATTGGGTCATCTACTTTAGCTCAAGCATGATAAATGGGGTTAGAGGTGTCTAAGTGAAGTTGATGGAGAATTATAGTGGCAGAATAGAAAGGGCGGTCTGTGGCAGATTAGAGATAAGATAGGAGATCCACGATAACGCCCTCCGCCTTCCAAGGTTCTGCTCTTCCTCTTCCCATCATCTCTTCCTTACAATTTCATGACAAATACTCGTTTGAATCAAAGAAAGCCTGACATCTTTTGAAACAATCTCTTTTAGCTCATTTGCTGCGCTATCGTGCGCGTTGCATATCGGTTGTCTGCCCGCGCTTCCTTTCGCTTCGTAGCTCCGAGCTACTCCAACCCCCGCACTCCTCACACAGCACAACGGATACTCAACGATCACCCCAGCCAACCCTTATCCGCCGTGAAATTAATCCTCAACTTGAGACAATGCTATAGGTCTGACTGCAGGTATCCGATTCTGTACCACCATACCAGGCAACAACTGGGAACCTTGCGGCTTTTGTCCTAGGCGAGATCAGCACATGCAGATGTCAACAGTCGGTCTTTGCCGTTAAATTGAGCTCGACCAGTTCCTTTTACCATTCTTCTTCGTGATCACGGAGGATTCTTGACCTTGCATTGGTCTGATCATCCCTGTCTAATACAAAATAAACTTCGTAGTAAGTACATCCGATCTATCCTTGATGCATACCCCAGATTCTAACATCCTATCCCTAGATGTCCACCCATTCAATGGAGGTAAGAAACTATTCTTTCCCCCCAAAACACATCCCCTCGATCCATCCTCCCTATATTGTCTCGAACCACGGCTGGGTCATTCGGTGGAGCTCGGTTAGTTACCGCGTACCGCTGCATCCATGCACAGGCCGTTGTGAGACAGCTGCTTGGTTCCGGACCCTTCCCGCTATTTTTCGGGGGATGAAGAAGCACCAGAGACCTCTCTAGGCAACCAAATGGGCCCTGGAATACGCAAGGAACATGGGTTTCCAATTTTGGGGCGTCTGCCACGGTTGCTGTCACAACGGGCCGATGCAAGATAGTGCCATCTCAAATCTACGGGTCTCCGTCTTCAGCCTCCGGCATTTCTTTGTCATTTCAAGGGATATCAGCCTGGCTTGGTTCGCTGACTGCCCAATTCCCTCTTTCTTTTCCGACATGTGATGCGTTGATTTATTCCGCCTTGCCCGAACTCATGAATCTTCCATCCTGATAACCCTAACCTGTCTCTTGCTTCACTTTTTCACTCAAAATGCATGTCTTTCTTGTTTGATTAAATGTCCGACTCAGCGGTAGCCCGCGTGAGCCGGCCTCATGGCCCTTTTATAGGACGTGAGTTTAATTTTTGGAAGCGACGGCGTGAAGATCCATTCCATAAGAGTGAAGCCGAGCTAAGCCTTTTGGATGATTTACAGGGAAACAACCAAGTTGCTGCGCCAACTCAGGCCAAATCGGCCTCTGTGCCCAACACCAAGGGCCCTGATGTTAAGCCTCGTCTTCTTCTAATGGGGCTCCGCCGGCAAGTTTTCACTGCCAGCTCTCGCACAAGAAAGATATTAACTATGTACTAGGAGTGGTAAGTCATCTATTGCCAGTGTGGTATTCCATAAGATGCCACCAAATGAGACACTCTTCTTAGAGTCCACGACTCGGATTCAAAAGGACTCGATCCAGTAAGTTCCAAAGAAAGAGCATGGTTAATGCGCTTTCCGCTGACGTGGAGTTTGAAGCTCCTTCATGGACTTCCAAGTCTGGGATTTCCCAGGTCAGCTCGAGTACTTTGAGTCCGCCTTCGACCTCGAGGATATATTCGGCAGCCTGGGCGCTCTGGTTTGGGTGATCGATGCACAGGATGACTACCTGGACTCGGTGGCGCGGCTTAACCGTACCATATTGACAGTCCAGCAGTTCTATCCTGGCATCAACATCGAAGTCTTCATTCACAAGGTCGATGGACTGTCAGACGAGTACCGCACCGACACGTTCCAGGACATTGTGCAACGCATCTCCGACGAACTCAGTGACGCTGGATATGAGAATGCGCCCGTGC